AAATCAAAATCATTTTTTTCCTTTGCAAAAAATGGCTATAGAATTCAAGGGAGATGCTGGTTGTTGGACAATTTAAGTTAACATGTGTATGTGCCCAGATCACTGTATTTCCTATCCCCCCAACTACTTTTCTCTTTAGGGTGATGACAGAAGTGTCTGTTGATGGGAGACATAAGGCAGGGTGTGACCATCACACAAGAAAGAAGGACTTTACCTTCCCTTTTTCTGCAGATTCTGCCTCTGTTAAGGCAACCCACAACCCTGTGGGATGGCTGTGAAGTTACTGTGAAGTCATATTGACCACACATTATTGATCACTGAACCATGTCTCCTTTGTGCAGATAGATCCTTGGATGCAGATTATAGACTTTATACTTTTCCTTGTTAACCATCTCACTAGATTTGTCCCCTGTTTGCTTTTAATCTTGTTTCTTACACAGTGGCCTCTTTCAATCCTGTCCATACCTCTGTCTTGGATCCACACATCTTCCCAGTTCTCATTCAGGTATGGGCAGGTTCAGGGGAAGCCCCTTTGGCAGCCTCTGAGGACTTCCCTTCAGATGGCCAGGGCTCATTTGCCACATTCCCGGGTGTGGCTCTGTGTTTTTGTGTCCACCTGCAGGCATCCGCCCCCTTTGATGGATGCCTTAGTTGCAGTTCAGGCTTGGGGTGCAGATGAAGAAAGGGTGCAGATGAGGAAAGGGAGTGATGGCACGTGTCAGGGTGTGTGCCCAAGGCTCTTTTTTTTTTCTTTGAGAAGGAGTCTCACTCTTTCACCCAGACTGGAGTGCAGTGGCACGATCTTGGCTCACTGCAACCTCCGCCTCCCGAGTTCAAGCAATTCTCCTGTCTCAGCCTCCGGAGTAGCTGGGACTACAGGCACATGCCACCACATCCGGCTAATTTTTGTATTAGTAGAGACGGGGTTTCACCATATTGGTCAGGCTGGTCTTGAACTCATGACCACAGGTGATCCACTCGCCTAGGCCTCCCAAAGTGCGGGTTTTACAGGTGTGAGCCACTGTGCTGGGCCCCAAGACTCTTGTTGGTCAGTGCGCACCTATCGGAGTCAGCTGCCTGTTGAGGAGTTCCAATCCCCCCTGCCACCAATGGTCAGGTACTGGAGGGATGTGTGAAAACCCTGCAAAGCTTCCTTAGGCAAAGGCCCAGTGAGTGCAGTCGGTTGAGAGTGCCAGCCCCATGGACGTGGGACTGGGTGTGGCTGGGTGAATGTTTGGCAGCTCGAGGGGCTTTGGAGATTCTTGCTCACTGAAGGAGCCATAAAAACAGCCCTGGCTACCCTGTGCACACTTCATCTTCCTGGATCACCTTGCCCTCAACTCACCTCTGGCCAGTATACTTAAAAAAAAAAAA